TGCCAGCTCCCCACGCCGCCCAGCAGCCTCCCCCCCGCCCTCCATGCCTTGCCCACAAGCAGCCTCTTCGCCACCCGTCCCGCGCAGCCTCCGGAAAGCGTCCTGGGGATCAGCTTCAAGCCCTACAGCCCAGAGCCCGGCCCGGCCCCGGCCTCCTGCACCACCTGTGAGAGCACACGTAAGGCGACAGCTCCGAGCGCGGGCCGGGCGCGGCGGCCCCTCTGTGCCGCGCTGGGCAGCGCATTGCTGCTGCAACGGCTGCTGATTTCCCTGGGGGGCCCTGGTGGGGCTGGGGATGCTACTGGGTACTTCGTGGGGCTGGAGGGTGCTGGGGGGAGAGGGGAGGTTTGCAACTGCGGGGGGCTGTGCCGGGGGCTGCGCTGACCCTGCCTCTGCCTTGCCGCCAGAGTCCTCCCTGTTCAGAGCGGAGGCAGGGTGAGCTGGGCCCCGGAGCAGCTGGCCGTGTGCCGCGTCTCCCGTTTCCTGAGTTTTCCTGACATCTGGTGGACATCTGGGGACAGGCTTTCCGGAGGAAGGGAGATGGGCAGCGTGGATCCGTGCAGCTCCGCGCGGGAGGTGCTGGGGCTGCACTGCGCGTTCCCCTTTCCGAGGATGCCTTTGCATGTGCAGTGCTGGCCAGCAGCACCCATGCCCCACTCACGAGCTGGCTCTAGCACATGCAGCCTGGACAGGCCGGGGCAGCTGCCTCGTGCCAGCACGGGGTACAGCCTCACCACAGTGCGTGCTTGTTTGCAGTCCTCTTCTGGCGCTCGCAGACTGGCATTGTGTACAAGGAGCCTGCCGAGAGCTGCAAGGACAGCCCCGTGCGCTGCGACGGCGTCGCCGACTGCTCGCAGCGCAGTGACGAGCTGGGCTGTGGTAAGGGATGCAGGGCAGCGCTGGGGCCAGGGGGACCCGTTCCCGGGATCCGCACACCCACGCGCCTGCTGCTGCCTCCCGCAGTGCGCTTCAGCTCCGACCAGTCCCTGCTCCACATCTACTCCAGCACCGAGAGCCAGTGGCTGCCCGTGTGCAGCAGTGCTTGGGACGACTCCTTCTCCAGGAAGACATGCCAGCAGCTGGGATTTCAGAAGTAATTCCCTGGGGCCGGCTGTCCCCACACCACGCTGAAGCCCCGGCCTGGGGCACCCAGGAGCTGGTGCATGGAGTGCCTTACTCTGGCCCTTTTTCCTGGACAGGGCATGGCCAGCTATGCTCCATCCCCAGCCGTAGGGCTTTTCCAGGGGAAAGAGCAGTTTTCCTAGGGCTGAGGAGGGATCCTCAGGCTCCTCTTCTCTCTCTCCTCACAGTGCATCCCAGACGGACTACATCCCCCTGCATGTCTCCGGCAAGAGCCTCAGTGTGACCGAGGAGCGGGAAACCATCCAGGAGAGCCTCAACAGGTACTGGGGCAGCACTGCCTCCCCAGTGCCGGTCCCGGTCCCTGTGCCACAGTGCTCGGCCTCATGCTGACTCTGGCTCCCTCTTCCCCTGCAGCTCCCAGTGTCTCACGGGGAAATACGTCTCCCTGCGATGCACAAGTAAGGGGACAGAGGACGATCTCCTCTGGCAGTACCAGGTGCTGCTGGGCTCTGTGGGAGGCAGGCACAGCTCTCCACACTCCCCAGCCTGAGCCCCTCTTTCCCCCAGGCTGCGGGCAGCGGATCTCTGGCCGGATCATTGGCGGGAAGGAAACCTCGGCCAGTAAATGGCCCTGGCAAGTCAGCGTGCAGTACGGGCCCATCCACATCTGCGGCGGCACCATCATTGACGCACAGTGGGTGCTCACAGCGGCCCACTGCTTCTTCATGTGAGCCCAGGGGATGCTCCTGCACAGGGTGCAGGCTGCGGCCAACAGCCCTCCCTGCCCGACCTCCCCACACCCTGCCTCAGCCTGCTGCCCTCTCCTCTGCTCCTAGGAACAGCATGAAGATCCTCGATGACTGGCGGGTATACGGCGGGGTCTCCGACCTCAAGCAGCGCTCCGAGGGCATCCCTGTCTCTCAGGTCATCATCAACTCCAACTACAGTGACGACCATGATGACTACGACATCGCTCTCATGAAGCTCTCCAGGCCACTGGTGCTCTCCGGTGCGGGTCTGGCTTCAGGGCGCATGGGCAGGTGCGGTGCCTGCAGCCCATGCTCACGCGCCCTCCTCACCCGCTCTGCCCCAGCCCAGGTCCGCCCAGCCTGCCTGCCCATGCACGGCCAGCGCTTCCAGACCGGCAGGTCCTGCTTCATCACCGGCTTCGGGAAGACCAGGGAAAATGAAGGTGAGAGTGAAGAGTGCAGGGCCTGAGAGGAGCCTGTGGCTGTGCCCTCCAGGATGCACGTTAGATGCACACTCGAGCTCCCTTGCGCGGGTGGCAGCTCCTCGTGCACGCTCACGCACTGCTGCCCCGCGTGCCAGATAACACCTCCCCAAAGCTGCGCGAGGCCGAGGTGAAGCTCATCGACTACAAGCTGTGCAACAGCGACAAGGTGTACGAGGGCTACCTGACGCCGCGCATGATGTGCGCCGGCTACCTACAGGGTGGCAAGGACGCGTGCCAGGTGAGCGGGGGGACCCGGCCTCGGTGGGGGGCAGGAGTGGCTCCACGGGTTACCTGGCCTCACCGTGCTGCCCCTGCACCCAGGGTGACAGTGGGGGGCCCCTGGTGTGCGAGGACGGCGGGCGCTGGGACGTGGCTGGGGTGACGAGCTGGGGCACGGGCTGCGGCCAGAAGAACAAGCCAGGGGTGTACACGCGTGTCACGAAGCTGCTCAGCTGGATATACAGCAAGATGGAGGTGAGGGCGCCCAGGGACGGGCCCGCGCACGCTGCCAGGCTCCGGGACATCTCCCCCTCGCCCTCTCCTCTCTCCCCTGCGCAGAGCGAGAACGACTGAGGCCGGGTGCCCCGCAGGGCAGAGCCCTGCCGGCAGCCTCCTCCCGCTCCGGACTGCGGGCACCACCGGGAGCTGCCGCCCTCCCGGCTCCGGAGACACGGTGCCCGCATGGCACAGCCCTCGCCTGGTGCAAGGAGCTGGCAGATGTGCACAGCCCCCGGCCGCAGTGCCTCTCGTCTGGGCGCTGCGATTCTGCTTTGTAAATAGACGTGTCCTGGTGGCGTGTCCTGTGGTTGCTTCCTGGTGGCACCGGGGCACCGCTGGAGGGCGAGGGGCCAGTGGCAGTGTGGTGAGAGCCGCCTGCTGCGGGGACCTGGCTCCGTTGCATGTGAAGGCACCAGCTGCAGGTGGGGAGGCAGCAGCAGAGCCCGGGGCTGCTCTTCCTCACCCTGTGTCCCGCTCTGCCCTGGCAGAGCAGGGCTTGCTCTGGCGCATTCAGGTTGGAAGGGTTAGGAAGTGCCTCTATGTGACAAAATGCCTGTTTATGTTTTCCTATGGGGTGGAAACAGCCCTGGCAAGATGTGCGGGCTGTCATGGGGCCTGTCCTGGTTTGGTGGCTGTTGCAGCAGCAGCGCTGGGCAGGACTGCACACTTGGGGCGGCGCTGGGACAGGAAGCAGGGCAGATCCCTCAGCGCCTGGTTGCAGACGTTTGGGAACCAGGGTCCTCCCGGAGGTCACGCATACATGTGGGACAGATGGATGCTGGTCCCCTCGGGTGGCCAGTGTATTGTGGGAGGGGGCCCTGTGAGCCTTGCTCTGGGCTCTGCTCTAAATAAACGTTTCTGTAGCTCCGCGTGGACACGGCTCTTGCAGCTATTTCCCTGGGGCAGCGCAGTCTATGTGCTCACCAGGCTGGCAGGCGGAGCAGGGCTCGGCAGGGCTGTGACCCCTGCAGCCATGCGTTCGCTGCTGGGCCCTGCGCTGCAGGAGGGAGGGGAGCTGCAAGCCGGCGCCCTGCTCTCTCGCA